ATACACTACTATAAATTCTAGATGAGGTTAATATTTTTTAAATGAAGAACACAAGGAAAGTAAAAAAAAAAAAATAACTGAATAACAGCTCTTGGGGGTGAGGAAAGAAAATTTTAAAAATTCATGTGATTAGACAGAGACTTAAAATTCTTTATGTATATAAGAAAAATGACCAAAATGAAACTCCTTGTTGTTTAAACTTAGGTTGTTGTTAGGTGCCCCCAAAAAGCGGTTCACACATACACAAAACAAAAAAAAACACCCCAGACCCCCACAAAAACCGCAAAAACAGCGCCACACGAACCCAACGGTGCCGCCAATGGGCCAAACCAACCCAATAAGGGGGGTCTTCCTCTTTTTCACTGAACTACCACTTTACCAAGCATAATGTCCTCCAGGGACTAGTCCCTCCTGATATGTCCAAACTATGAGAGACCAAGTCTTGCCATCTTGGTTTCTATAGAACATTCTGGTTGTACTTCTTCCAATAGAAATTTGTTTGTTCTAACCTCGGAAACCCTGTACAGGGTCGCTATGGGTCGTACCGACTCGATGGCACTTAACAACAACAACAATAGGTCCATGATACTTTTAATATTCTTCTCCAATATAACTCAAATGTGTAATTCTTCTACAATCTTCGTTGCCCAACTTTCACATGCATATGAGGTTACTGAAAATACCATGTTTGGGGTCAGGCACACCTTAGTCCTCAAACTGACATCTTGGCTATTTAACACTTAAAAGAGGTCCTTGTGCAACAGACTGCCCAATGCAATACATCGTTTGATTTCTTGGCTGCCGCTTCTTATGAGTGTTGATGGTTGATCCAAGAAAAGTGAAGTCTTTGACAACTTCAAACTTTTCTCCATTGACTTTGATGTTAAATATTGGTCCAGTGGTGAGGATTTTCGTTTTCATTACAATGAGGTTCAACCCATACTGAAGGCTGTAGTGTCTGATCTTTATCAGTATTTTACGCTCTCTTTGTTTTCAGCAAGCAAGGTTGTATCATTTGCATATTGCAGGTTGTTAATGAGTCTTCCTCCAAACCTGATGTCATATTCTTATAATCCAGCTACTCTTGAGTATTTGCTCAGCATACAGATTGAATAAGTATGGCGAAAGAATACAACCCTGATACACACCGTTCCTGATTTTTAACCAGTGTCCCCTTGTTTGAGTCAAACAACTGCATCATGGTCTACGTACAGGTTCCGCATAAGCACAATTAAGTGTTCCAGAATACTCATTCTTGGCAATGTTGTCCAGAGCTTGTCATAATCCACACTGTTCAAAGCCTTTGTACAGACAATAAAGCAGGGTAAACGTCTTTCTGGGATTCCCCTGCTTTCAGCCAAGATCCTTCTTTGACAATAGCAATGATATCCTTCATTCCACGTCCTCATCTGAACCTGGCTTGAACCTCTGGCAATACCCCATTAATGTAATGTTGCAGCCGTTCCTGAATAATCTTTAGGAAAATTTTACTTGCATGTGATGTTAATGATACTGTCTGATAATTTCTACATTCCATTGGGTGGAATGGGTACAATTTAGCATATAAAAATAGAATCAAAGTCTTAGTTCTCATAAATGGTTCAGTCATGCAAGGACAAAGCATAAGAACAACTATTTGGTGATGAGAGCTATTTCACATCAGCAATACTTTGGAAAAAATCAGCAGTTAGTTGTATTGCTAATCTATTAGAAAAATTTGAAAAATACATAATTGACAATGTGGTCATGGGTTTTACATTTCTCAAATAATGCTGGGAATGGTCAAAAAAGTTGATTGCAGACTGCTTAGATGTGAGGTCCTACTCCAAGTTCATTACATAAAAACACAACTCTGAAATAGATGCTAATTTCACTTTAAATTGCATATTTTGTAACAGTTTCCAACTCCTGGCCACACTATGTGTATCAGAACAAAATCGTACCTTATACGATTTTCAGCGGCTGATTTAGGGAAGTAGATTGCCAAGCCCTTCTTCCATGATGCCTCTGAATGGGCTCAAACCACTAATCTTTTCAATTAGCAATGTAGCACAACCAATTGCACCACCCAGGCACTCCAAATTCACCCTTGTAATAGAGGAAACCAGCCAGAGGAGGTTAAGTACCCAGAACAGCTAGGAAGAGAGAATGAGGATCCCGACAAACAAGGCAATCTGGGTCTAGTGCTCCAACGCAACAACCTCTACCGTAAATAAAGTTAGGGCTCAAGAAACAGGTCATTGAGAGAATGTTTTTGATAACACTTTAATTCGGTGTAATCCTTTTTCAAAAGATTCGCTAACCCTGCTTTGGTAATGTCTCCTAAGGGTGTGTTGTATGACTTCTGGGGAAGAGAATCCAAATGTTTAATGCCTTTGAGTCGGTTCCAATTCATAGCGACCCTGTATGGGGTTTCCAAGGTTGTAAATCTTTGCTGGAGCAGAAAACATCGTTCTCCTGAGGAGTGGCTGGTGGGCTCGAACAGCTGACCTTGTGGTTTGCAACCCAGTGCTTCTCCTATAGAGCCACTATACTCCCTGTTGTAGGCTGGTCCCATTATAAAGAGCTCTGGTAGCGTAGCAGCAAGTCAGGTTGGTAACCTCAAGGTCAGCAGTTCCAAACTACTAACTGTTCCACGGGAGAATAAGGAGGCTGACTTCTCATTCTCTGCTCCCATAAAGATTCATAGCCTCTTTAGGAAACCCTATGCAAGGTTGGAACCGACTCCACAGCACATAATGGAGGGTCACCTGGGTATACACAGGGCACCTGTTAGGTAATCAACTAACAATTAAACGGACCCGCGCCTTTCTGTCACCAAGAAACCAGAAAAACTTCAGCTAGAGAAAACTCTTACCACTTGTTAGTTAGTCTGCTCCCAATTCAGTTTAACCAACTGGACTAGGGTACCCCACTTGAACACGGTTTGGCAGGCAAGACCTCCCACTCCATACCCTTCTCACCCCATTTGAATTGGAAATCCACTTCAGGTTGCTAATATTCCTTAAGCCCTGGCCTCTCCCCAAACTGGAGTAATAAGGTCACTCTTTGTGATAACAGTTAAACTCACAGCAGACAAGAGTTGAGGCACACTCTGTTCTTGCCACAAATGGGATGCGTTAGTGTGAGATACTGACTGTGACTTTACCCAAGGTACTTGGAAAAGAGACAAGGCCCCAACGGCTCAGAGGCACCATATGGCAATTCAGGGGAGGACTTGAGGAGAGGGCTTTACAGGAACGCAACAGAGGAGGAGGTGAGGCGCCACCAGCACACAGGCAGAAGGCTGAGCTGGCCAGCATACTCATAGCCACCCTGTTAGAGAAAAAGACAACCGGGGGAAAGAATACGGACTAGACAGACAATTCTCTTGCAAAAGCACAGATCTCGCAAAGCACAGGTAGGGCAGAAAATGAAACTTAGCAAAACACTTACTTTTTAGTGAACAGCAAGAACTGCTATGCCCCTTCAAGCTCTAGAGCCTAGCAGATACGGAAGTCCACAAACCACAAGCCCTACCCCTAGCACACGTGAAAGGCATAGTACTAATTTATTTGGTCAGGTAATTAACCTTAATGGAATCCAGGTATGGTGCTGTGGGTTAACGCCGTAAACGGCTGTCGGTTTGAACCCGCAAGGCTGGTGGTTCAAGCTCACCAGTCACTCCTTGCAAACCCTATACATGGTCGCTATGGGTGGGAATCCACGCTACAGCACTTAACGACAATGATTAACCTCAATACGGCACACTTCAAGACCTGGGTCTCCTAGCAGGATCTTGGACGTAGTACACAGGCATGAGAAATGAGCATCCAAGAAGCACCCACTCAACCTTCTTGCAGAAACTGTAAGATGCTGTCACCAATTCCAGGAACCTGCTGAGACTACCTTTGCACGGTCCTGTCATTATTCCTATAAAACTCCAAAGACTGTGAGCTCAGAGAGATACTGCTCTCTGTGGCATGTCTCCACTACAAGTTTCCTTTCTTAAATAAACTGCCAATTCACTTTATGACTTTTGTAACCCATCCCAGTAACCACCCTAAGTACGACTAAAACACCGCATGTTTCAAACACCAATGGCCAGCCTCTTAAACCCTTGTTAAGTAGCCATTACAAGTGACAGTCATGAAGCCTGGGGAAATGCCAACAAAAAGAGCAAGGTGGAAACTTCAGGAGAACTTTTTTGTTTTTTTTTTAAGTATTTTTACCTATACACGTTTTGGAAAGTAAAATATGTTGTTACCAAGGACATGGAGTCAATTCCCATCAGATGTTCACAGAGTAGTACCGACTCAGCGACCAGAATGAAACACTGCCCCATCCTGGGCCAACCTTACTACTGTTGCCATGCTTGAGCCCACTGATGCTGCCACTTGGCCAATCCATCTCGTTGGGGGTCTTTCTCTTTTTCTCTGATCCTCCACCTTACCAAACATGATATCCTTCTCCAGCGACTGGTTCCTCCTGACAATATGTCAGAAGTATGAGAGAAGAAGTTTGGCCATCTTGTCCTCCCAAGGAGCACTCTGGCTGCACTTCTTCCAAAACAGATCTATTGGTTCTTTTGACAGCCCATGGCACTTTCAATGTTCTCCTCCAAAACCCGAACTTAAAAGCATCAATTCTTCTACGGTCTTCCTTATTCACTGTCCAGCTTTCACATGCATATGAGGTTATTGAAAACACCATGGCTTGGGTCAGGAACACCTACTCCTAACCATGTGCCAGTCAGCTAAGTGCCTCATCATTATTTTATTCTTACAATTTATGACGCAGAAACTATTATCATATTTGACCAAGAAAATTTAGATTTACCTAACACTTTTGCTCAAGAGAATGACTCTAATAAGGAATCTTCACGCAGGAATTCAGAGCTGAAGGCTAGCCTTTTGCACACCATCCGCAGGCCGTCTCCTAGGAAACTCATCTTGTCCCGCCCCCTAGCCACTTCCGTTCTTGCGCGCAGTTGCTCCGACGGGGATTGCTGTTTGGCGGTCATGGTCGCTTCCCGCTTACCCCCTATGACGCTAACGCTAAAGCAGGTACCAGCGGTTCTCGTCCTCTTTCTAAGGCAGTTTTCCAGGGTCTTAACTTGTCTATTCTTCACCTTTCCCTCCACGTATTTACGTAGTGGGTGTTGGAGTTGAATGGAGCAGGTCTGGGAGTCCTGACTGCTCGCACCTTATCGGTAATTGGCTCCGGGGTGTGGGGGGCGGGGCTTCTCTCCGTAGGACCAATGGGAAGAAACGCCAGCTGCTCGGTCCTGTAGTTGAGGCATGGGTGGGCGAGGGTCTTCTCCGGTCTGATGCCTCAACTCTCCACTGGCCGTAGTGAAGACCATGCTGTTTGCTGTATGGAGCTGTGATTAAGCGCAAATGAAATTGCTGGAGATTTAAACAACGGCGCTAGTTTAGAAAAAACTACTGTTATTGCCATGAAAGCTTCCAGAACACTGGCAGCCTTTTTATACCTTGTGAAGTATTCAGCTCGCTGGAGCTGTTTGATTTTAAGGTGTAACAAAAGAGTAAACAAACAGCCGAAATACACGTGTCATTTTCTTTTAAAAAGTGAGTTATTTGCCCTGAGAAATCTGAGCCCAAATCCCGATCTAGTTTGGTTTTCTTCTGGTGTGACGCTGTAGAATCAGCGCTGGACTGTGAACCACAAGGTCAGCAAATCAAGCCCACTAGCTGTTCCTTTGTAAACCGTATGGCACTTAAAACTCCAGGCTGGCAATTGTGCAGTTGTAATTGCCTTTTTTCTTCGTGTACAGTTCATAAGAAGACAACAGGTTCTCCTTCTGTACAGAAGGATTCTGCAAGCAATTCGACAGGTCCCAAATGTTTCTGATCGCAAATACCTGAAGGACTGGGCAAGGGAAGAATTCAAAAGAAACAAAAGTGCTACGGAAGAGGTGAGAATAAGATCATGGTGAGGCCAGACCCTAACTTGTGTTTATTGGTAGATTTATAAAAATTATTTAGTAGACATCACAGAATCTAAATGCCACCAAGATGGTATATCTTGATGACTGTTCTTAATGTTATCCACTTTTCACTTAAACGTTTTAAATTTTAAAACTGCTATTTCAACTCTCTTCAGTAGCATCACCTAATTTTATATTAAGCTTTATTTAGAATGCTGATATGGCACTGGACTGCTAACTACAAGGTTGGCAGTTCAAACCCAGTAGCCACTCTTTTAGTTATCAGTCAGAATCGCCTCATTGGCACATAACACAAAATATAGAGTAGGTTAGATTGCAAATACTTCCCATAGCAGCTTGGGAAGTACAATGATGAGGGCTATATGAAGGCATGCCAGACAATGTACACCTTACTTTGTCAGTTTTTAGCTTTCCTAATATGTGGTCAGCTAATGACTAGTTTTTGCTTTTTACCAAGTAAAATGTACCTTGCTGAACCAAGTAAACTCGTGACCCCATTTCACTTTCTTCTACAGGATGCAATCCGGATGATGATTACTCAAGGCAACATGCAGCTCAAGGAGTTAGAAAAAACACTTGCATTAGCAAAGTCTTAACTCTAGCATTATTTTGAAGGATTTTCTTAAACCTCCATGTGTTTAGGTGAGTTTAGGCTCAATGATGGGCAGCTGAAAGACAAGATGGGTTGTTTGTATGTACAGTACTTAGGGAAAATAATAGCACGTGGAGTACGGCATGTTATAACAGCAAAGAAAATAGCATCAGAACAATGCTCAGCACTAAAAATATACACTGAATTTTGGAAATTTTCCTGGATATATCAGAAGTTTCTGTAAGAAGCAAAAACCAGTACAGAAAATGGCCAGTAAATACATGAAAAACTGCTCAACGTCAGAGAAATGCAAATCAAACCCAAGAACATAGTCCTTCACACACACCCTCTATGATAAAACAAAAATGTCCGAATGTTAAATGTTGGTGAGAATGTGAAAAAATTGGAATACTCATATAATGCTGGTGGAAATGTAAAATGGTAAAGGTATTTTGGAATACAAGTTGACAGTTCTCAAAAGGGTAAATATTTTTACCATATGATACAGCAATTCCATTCCTAGGTATATAGCTAAGAAAAAGGAAATGTATAGATGAAATGTTGATAACAGCTTTCATAATAGCTCAAAAGTGGACACAGTTCAAATACCCATTAATGAATGATGAATGGATAAAGTGTGGCATAACTATACAAAACATTTTGATATAACATGGATGAATCTTGAAAACATGTTGAGTGAAAAAACCTAGTCACAAAAGATCACATGTTGTATAATCCCACTTGTATGAAATATCCAGAATCTGCAAATGTGTGAAATAGCAGACTAGTGGTTGCCATGCCAGGGTGGAATGGGAAGTAACTTCCAAGAGTTGTAAGGATTTTTATTTATTTTTTTGGGTGATGAAAATACTCTAAAATTAGATTCTGGTGATGTTTGGGTAACTGAATATACTAAAATCCTTGAATTATACAACAGGTTTTAAATGGGTGTATCGTGTGGTAAGTGAATTACATCTTAGTAAAACCTTTAAGAAAAATCAACAGTATCAAAGCTTTATAGCATGTGAGAAGTGCCTACAAATATTAGCGTATTAAACGTCCTTCTGTCATTTCCATGGGTAGGAAGTTTTAAACACAAGTCAGGCATCTCTCTCTGTGGACTACAGAGAGACAGATGACTTTCCAAAATCTGAGGGACTCAGGACATAATTTCCTGGTATCTGTATTACCATAGTCATACAGTAATCTTAGCAGGAGAAACTAAGAGGCAATGCCCCATTCTTACCTGAATTATCTGTCTTACCTGAATTATCTGTCTTACATGGAATAGGGAATAGGGAAAAGCACACATCTACCTAGAAAAAAATTTGTTTGGGATTATGTAGAGTAAGGACCCAAAATGGACCAAAAGCAGATTGTCACTCAGTGCCAAACTAGAAATCCCATTGGCTGTTTTCTTGCTTATGTGATTACACTGCATTGACAGCTATTGTTTACCAAGACAAGTAAATCACTTTTACCTACTTGTGTAAAAAGGACTGTGCTGTGTCTCATTTTTTAGTCTCATGGAGAAAAATATTAAAGGAAAGCAATACTTCCTCTTCAAATTATAACTGAAAAATGTTTGATGTTTTGTTTTTCTAATTTGAAAAAGATACTCTAAAAAGTTTTTTTAAAAAAGAAAACACCTGATTTTGTGCTATAAATTTTATGTAATTCATCACCTTCTACAATCCACACTCTAAAAGAAGAAATGTATTTAGCTTTTAGGAACATTTGATTTAAAAAAGTAGAATGCTAGCTTGCTTATTTAGCTCTCAGAAATGATATTCTATCCGCCTTTTTGCTCAAATGGCTAACGGTTTGAACAAAACATTTTTTCAAGCTTGCACTGAGAAATGTGATGTTCTGGCAGTACTTTTGTTTTGTTTTCATGCTTTCTATTTTAAAGCAGATGTATGTGTTTATTTTGAATTATACTTTTTTTTAGACAAAAGGTCAGATCTGATGAGGTGAAGGCACTCTTTCAGGAACTATAACATTTGGTTGGCTACACAAACGAAAAATGTAGACTGGACAAAATAGTACACACTTTTTTTTTTTAAATACAGAGTTTAATGATCCATATTGAGAGCGATGCATGGATGAGACACAAATTCAGGTGAAACGAAATAGACAAATAACATGCATTTCATGGATATTAACATGTGACTCAAGAAGGTATAAACATGAGAACATTATTTTTGGTCTACCAAAGTAAAAAATAATACTAGAACTATTATATCCAGTCAATTACAGATACTTAATATATGCAATGCAGTAATGAACTAGGTTTTAAAAAGCATTGCAATATAACAACTTTTTTGCTTTACACCATTCTTTCCCACAGCTTGTCATGTAAAATGGCCTACGTGACAAGTTATAAATTGTTAACAGTTCCATTTTCTTGGAAGCACACAGTTATGGCATTTGCTCATTTTCACAAACAGCACTAAGGAGGGAGGGAAAATAAAAATACACACTGGGCTTGGAGTTAAGTTTTTGACAATGTCAAAGAGCAAAACAGACCAAACACATTTGTTGAAAATAAAAAGCTATTGCATTGGTCTTGTGAGGTTGCCATCTCCTTTGGGTTAGGAGGCTGGCTGACCCTGTTCTATTTCCTAGCTTCTATTGGCTTTCCTTCAGTGACAATTACCAAGGACAAGGGCCATGCAATCTGCTAGACTAGGTCCATTTGACTTTTCTGATTCGTCCCTTGACTCTTCCATCACTGTGAATTTTGACAAATACCCAGTTCGTGATCATAAAACTTCCTGCTTCAGATGGGCAGCTTATGTAGTTCAAAATACCAAAGCACTCAGGGGCTGAGTTCTGAGTTAAAACTTTAATTTGTTGTCAGCATTCCTTGACAAGGATACCCTTTATGGTCACAGGGATATTTTAATTAGTGAAAATTACTCCTGTTTGGAACATGACTTGATGAACCTCCAGGGATTTCATCTCTTTCGTTGAGCCTTAGGCAGCTTCTGATACAGATCTTTGTGATAAAGATATGGTGGAATGGCTCCAAAGATGTGATGTGATACCTTGTTGGGAGTGGATTTGGAAAGGTACCTTCTAAAAGGGATTCTGCCTTAAGAACAAGCAAGGAAATGAAGAGGAAAGTACCTATACGTGAGCAACTCAACAAGATTCTGGAGAAGGATGGGAGCTTTAGATAGTAGGAACAAGGCAAGTTTACAAACATGAAAATATACTTGAGAGAACCTCAATTTAACTTCATATTCAGGTAATGGTGACATGGAGCCCTAGTATGGTACAATAGGATAAGCACTGGATTGCTAACCACAGGGTTGGCGTTTTAAACCCACTTCTTGGTTTGGGTACTTCTGTTCACGCAGGGCCCAGCCTGCTCCTCGGAAAAACCTACACAGGGTCAGTGTGAGTCGAAACTGGACAGCACTTAACAATGGTCACATATCCCTCGTAGTACAATGCTAAAACGCTCAGCTGCTAACCAAAAAGTTGGTGTGGTGGTTCAAACCCACACAGTGGCTCTGTGGGAGAAAGATCTGGTGATCTGTTCCCATAAAGATTACAGCTTAGGAAGTCCTATGGGGCAGTTAGAGCGCATGGGATTACTAGGAATCAACAATTGAGCTGAAGGATTTACTGACAATCTCAACCAGATCACAGAGTGTCACTATGAAAAATAAAGCATGAGGTTGATCGGCAAAAAATAAACCGAAGGGATTAAAAGTCTACTTTACCTTGCTGGGTGTCCCATGTCATTATTTTCTCTCTGGCTCAATGGGCACCATTTTATTCACAATGGATAATAGCTATTAAGTTTCTGGTTGATAGGTGTTTATAGATACAGAATTGAACTTTCTATATATACATGGAATTTTGAGGTGATAAATATAATCCATATTCCAAGGGACAAGACATTTGGGAAGAACAAAATCCAAAGTTTAATATACCCTAGCTACTTTAAAATGAAACCTTGTTTCTGTGTTTGTTATTACTCATTATGGATCAAGTAAAATCCTTAAAGCTGCATGAAACAGGAACAGTGAGGTCCAAATCAAGTTACTGAGTTATACAGCCTGACAGGATCACTGTGAAGCAGTGGAAAGCTCTTGAGGTTCTTCAAAGAACTCAATTAAAAACTAAATACCATTAAGAAGTAGTCTATTTCTTTATAAAATTTAGACCATTAAGTTAAAATTTAGAAAGGTAATCTGAAATCATTGGGTTTGATTCAGTAATGAATTTCTAGGTAATAGGTGGATATTTCCTCTTATCTGTTTTAAAATCACTATGATCAGTTTTTGGCTCAAAACACAGAAACCATGATCAAATGATTTGAGTTCATTAACCGTACTACTGGCCAATTATTATTTAAATACTGACTTTTCACATAATTGTAAGATAGGCTGGATCTTGTGACATCTTTCTCCTCAAAATGCTTGGTAAGTTCCCACTTGATCAGAATATGTCAGCATTTGGGAATTGAGAGACAGGGTTTAGCGCATCTTGTCTAGGCACAGCAGGTGTGTTTATCTGAATAACTGACTTGAGTTCACAAGGGATTGATTTGTCTCCTTGATTTGTATTATTTCATACATCTGGATCTGAGAGGTTAGGGTTACCTTCGTTCAGCTCCTCAGCGGACCTCACTTCATCTGAGGTTTTGAACTCCAGATGAACCTGGATTGAGGTTTGGAGTTTGTAAAGAAACCTGAAACTAAGCAAGCTTCCCTTGGTTTCAGTTTAATTGTTGAAGTCTTCGTAACTTCAGGGCATAGGAAACGTATGTCTGGCACATTTCAGAAAGTAGGGATGTTTCAAAAGCAAGTCTACTGTGTGCACACACCACCTTTGGGCATAGGTATTCTGCAGTTGCAAAGCCTAAAATCCTCAAGAACCCTTTCTTGTAAATTTTCCCAGGTCCTAATTTTCCTTCTGCACCTTAGTCCTTAGTTTAGCAAGTTCTTCTTCTAAACTTTGAATGTGTTCCTTCAGCGTAGCCTTGTCTTGCTGGGCTTTTTGATTGGCTTGGCTTCGGGCTTCTTCTATCTTCCTTTCATACCACTTTTCCATCTGGGTAGAAACAGCCTCAAAAAAATACTGAGTAAGCTCCAGAGCTTGTGAGGTGTCTCGACTGTGGGGTGCAGTCTGCTCACTGCCTGCTGCTCCTGCTGACAGTGGCCCACAGCTGTTGCTGGATGATGGTTGCTGGGTTCGATGCCTCGTCTGCCCACTTTTCCCAGACTTCTTGGTTTGGGTACTTCTGTTCACGCAGGGCCCAGCCTGCTGATCACACTTGGTTGCCTCACTTGCAGCTGTCTGGACCTTTACGTTCCTCAGTCGGGACCCTCCACCACCGTCAGAGGAAGACAGCTCCTGCTGGGGTCTGTGGGCAGCGGTGGAGTTGAGAGCCTTTTCCTTGGGCCTAACCACCTGGGGGGAACTTTCAGAGGCTGCTACTGGACCTGCGGTTACCACCAATGGATCCGCACCTAGTTTTAGGAGAAAAATAAAATTCAGCAAACTCGCCTTCACATGACTGTGGGTCAGGGTGTGTTTGATAGGTCTGGGAATCCTGTAAAGCACCAGCCAGAGCCCACTCAGTCACCACCCACCACCTGTAACTTTCCTCGGAGGTTCTTCCCACCTTTCTGTTCCCCTTTGCTACTTCCCTACTAACTAGCATCTCAGCTTATTGTGAGGGCGTTCATGGGTTACCATGGTAACATGGAAGCCAAATCTTTGCTGGCCTTTCCTTCAGCCTAACTCAACTCTAGGAGCCTCTGGGTCCCATTTCTTGATTCCCAAGTTTCATAAAACTCACCAAGTGTCTCAAAATAGAGCTGAATATTTATCTAGAAAATGAATATTCCTAGTCTCTAATTTCTAGGCCCTTTTGGTACTAGTTTCTTAACCTAAGCTCCAATTTGGAAAGGTGGTCCGGCTCCTCATCTCCAAAGTTCCATTGCTTCTAACATGAAGCATTTGTCTAGAATGTGTCTCAATGGTGTGAGCACAAAGAAGATAAATCCACCCTGTGGTAACACCAAACAAAAACTTGCTGCTGTTTCCAGTTCACGACAGCCTATGTTACAGAATAGAATTCTCCACAGAGTTTCCTGTCTGGAATGTTTACAGAAGCGGATTACCATGCCTTTCTTCTGGCACCACTGGGGGGGTTTGAATAGCCAACTTTTAGGTAAATAATCAAACACAAACCATCTGCACCCCTTAGAGACCTAACATGAAGCATGTGACATAATAAAATCTCCTGTTGTTGTTGTTATGCACCGTCAAGTCGGTTCTGACCCATAGCGACCCTGTACAGCGTTTCCGAGGCTGTAAATCTTTACGGGAGCAGAAAGCCTCATCTTTCTCCAGTGAAGCAGCTAGTAGTTTCAAACTGCTGACCTTGTAGTTCACAGCCTGATTTGTAACCACTGCTCCTTAAAATCTCCTAGTGAGGTCTAATTATCAAGGCCCTGAATGTCTTCAAAATGTAACCACTGTTGCTAATGTATACATGCTCTACTCAAAGTATCTTTTACCTTAGTATTCGGGGCAGGTACCAGTACCTGCCCCAGGTACTAGATAAAATGGCTGCTGTTTAATGAGGTTTCACTCAGTTGGACTAAGATAAACAACAGGTCAAGGAAAAGAAAAAGAAAAGAGACAAAGGGTCAGGGAGAGAGCTCTGATTTAGATAAAGAAGGGCTGTTCATCACTCCTCGTCTTTGGAATCGACAGCTGAGACCAGATATTTCTGAACACTAATGCAAGACTGCTTCATTACTACAGAGAAACTGAGTGTACAATAGTGAGCCAAACAGACATGGTCCACACCCCTCTACAATCTTTCCCACAGTCCTTTAGTGTGGACCGTCTTCTGATGCAGGAGAGAGATGGGCAAGATTTCATCACCAGTGGACAGAAGGCTTTCTATAGGTGGATTACCTGTAGAGGACTCACAAGTAGATGGTGTAGATTTAGTCCTGGAGGCTCTAGAATCTCCAGAAAGCTTCAGTTCCAGATTCTGAATCTTTAACATGCACCAGCTTTTTAATTCATCCACCAAAGACATCTAAGAACACAAATTAGTATACAAAAGAATCAGGTGAATTTGATATAGGATTTATAAATTGAAGCAACATGAATTAATTTTTCAGTAGTTGAGGATATTGCCTTGACAAACCCAAAAGTTCGTCACTCACCCTCCCACAGGCCAAAGCCTCTCTGCTTCTCTAAACTAAAACTCATCTAGTGCCCAAGCTAACAGCTACTTAGATTCTTCCTTTAGTAACTGAGGACCACTTTAAACTGAAACACCACAGCCACCGAGTCTTCCAAACCAAGCATTTCTGGTTGCCTAAGAGCATGAAATCTCATACATGGGAGCTCCACGTTTATTGTTCCAGGAAGACTGAAAGTTCCTTGAGGGAAGGAGATGTGTCTGCTCAAAAATAATGTAAACATCCAGCAAATGCACAGAAAATATAACTGGCTCAGGGCAGAAATCCCATTTCCCCTAACAAGTTCTACAAATAATTGTTCAGTCTCAACCTATTGCAGTATATTCAACAGTAAACATAAACTATAAATTCTTCTCTTTATTTAAGGATTAAGAAAATGCCATGTTATGTAAAGCAAATACTCTTAAGTTTTCAATGATAGGTCGAAATCTCTTAATTAAAGGAAATGTGTGATGATAAGGATTGATATTGCCGCTACTTTTCATATTTTAAATTTTACTTTGGTAAATATATAACTTTTAACCATTTTTTTGTATGTACATATGATAAAAAAGTTTTTTCCCATTTTTAGCATTCTTTTAGTGTATGATCCAGTGACATTAGCTATATTCACCATGTTGTGTACACATCACCATTACTAGTTCTGAAAGTTCTTCATCCTTCCCAAACAGAAACTCAGTACCCTCCTCTCCCTCCTCCTAGCCCCCAGTAACCACTAATAAACTTTGGTCTTTGTTCACTTGCCTGTCCTAGATATTCCATATAGCTGTGATCCTAGAGTGGTTATCTTTTTGTATCTGACTTATTTGACTTAGAATCAGGAGCCCTCGTGGCACAGTGGTTAAGTGCTGGGTGGCTAACTGAAACATTGACAATTTGAACTCACCCTGCTGCTCTGTGGGAGAAAAACCTGGTGATTTGCTCCCATAAAGATTACAGCCTAGAAAACTCTATGGTACCTTAGTAACCAAAAGACAAGTCAATGGTAAACAAAAACAAAGGCAAAGGACATAAACAGACACTTGATCAAAGAAACCACTCAGGCAGCTAACGCACGTGAATAGATGCTCACTTCATTAAAAATTAGATACAAATCAAAACACTGTGATACCATCTCATACCTGCAAAACTGGCAATGATCAAAAAACCAAAAGACAGCAAACATGAGGTAGTGAAGAGGCTGGAACTCTTATACACTGCAGGTAGGAGTGTAAAATGATACAACCACTATGGAAAATGGTAAAGTGTTTCCTCAGAAAGTTAGAACTAGAAATGTCATAAGATGTAGCAAACCTGCTCCTAGGTATATGAGAGGACTTAAAGAAACTGCATAAAAAATGGAATGAAAACAGTGGAATTCTTCCATGAACTCTTTGAAGACTTGTCATATATCTTAAGAGAAATAAAAGCAGTGACATGGCTAGACAAATGCAAACCCATGTTCAATGCAGCGTTATTCACCATAGCAAAAAGATGGGACCAGCTTAAGTGTCCATCAATGGGTGAATGAATGAAGTATGGTACATACATACAATGGACTATCACTCAAAGAAAAAGAACACTGAGGAGTCTATGAAACATTCATGATGGAAGAATCTGGAGGAAATAAGTCTGAGTGAAGTCAATCACAAAAGGACAACTATTGTATGAAATTACTTGTATAAAAAAATCAAGGATAGGTTTACACACAGAAAATAACATTCTTTGATAGTTACAAGGAATTGGAAGTGGAGGGAGGGAGAATTACTTAATAGCTGGTTATTGTTGTTAAGTGCCGTGGAGTTGGTTCTGACTCAGTGACCATGTATAGGGCTTCTGAGGAGCAGCTGGTGAGTCTATGCCATTGACCTTGCACTTAGCAGTTCAGTGCTTATCCTACAACACCACACCAGGACTTCCACTAGATAGCAGACATGTTTAATTCTGGTAAAGGGAAAGGTAAAATCCTAGGGAACAGCTCTCCTACGTCTCATGGGATTGCAATGAGTTGAGATTGGCTCAAAAGCCCACCAACATTTTCAAGGTATGTGTTGTAGCATGTATTAGAACTTCATTTCTCTTTACGGCAGCTGGTATTAGTTTTCACCTGTCGTTTCTCTCCCTCATGCTGCTCCAAGTCTGAATGCTGTTGCAGGCGATTCAGGCACTCAGTTCTCTCTGCTGAGAGTCGCTCAACCATCAGCTTGTCCAGCACCCGCATCTAGGATTCAATAGCAAAGACCATGTGACTGAGCTGATCTAAGGATGGGCTCTGGGCTCTAACTCCTGAGTGTACCACGCAGGGGCCAGGGAGAAAGCAAGCAAACCTCAACTCCTTGTTTACAACTCAAATTTTTCAGAATTCCTGAGCATGTTTCTGTGTAAGCATTTACTTCTCTTTAGTTAATTATTTGTAGTCAAAGGATTTAAGAGTGTACAAATCGAACCAATGTAGGCTTTGTAGGTAAAAACACACTTTATAGGCCTTGGCATATTATTTCTAAGACTATTATATGGAAAAACTAAAAATGTCTAGGATAATTGTGTCCTCATTTTTTAATAAACAATGTTAGCAGCTGCCCTGTATAGGGCTTCCAACGAGCCACTGGTGAGTTTGAACTGCTGACTTTGCAGTTGAAACCAACCTTGTGGCCCAGTGCTTATCCAACAGTGCCACATCAAGATTCCATACACACACACACATATATGATTATTATAATCAGAAGCAATTTAAACATGTTCCTAAATGATTTAAATAAACAAACTTTAGAAAAATTATATAAGCAACCCTTTTCTCTGAAAGTCCATTAGACGGTGGGCACAGTTTACAGGATATCTTCTTCACTTCATTTTGTGACATAACAACTTGCAATTAGGGGGCTGGCCCACTTGCTTACTTGGTGTTGGGTCTTGTTCTCCATATGCCCCAGCTTTATATTCATTTTATCTTGAACAGATCCCAGTTCAGCTTTGATCTCCTCCACAGTTGCCTCCAACTGGTTCTCCAGCTTGCTGATCAGAGGTTCACATCGACAACCATTGATTGGTGCCTACAAAGTAAACAAAAAAGGAACCAACACAACTTATTCATTTCCTTCAACAATTGCACTGTGAGCAGCTAGTTCGTGTCGTAGTACACTAGGGGCTGAGAATATAGAGGAGGCCGAATGAACCCTGGACCACTGCTGAATGTCCTGTAGGCCAAGCTCTGTGTCTCAGAGGCACTGAGAAGATTCAGAAAGGGTACGATATAGCTGGCCCCTGTCCTCAAGCAGCTCACACTGCTTGTATCTGCACTGGGTCCCCAAGATCTACTCATTTAAGGAAGTGCGGGGGCAGCGGTGCTTCAGTCTCACCTTCTATGCCGGAGACCTGGGTTTGATTCAGTTCTGGGCCAACTCAGTTAACATTCAACCATACCCAGTGGAGGCTTGCATGTTGCTATGATGCCAAATAGATTTCAGTGGAAATTCTAAACTAAGTTGGACTAGAAAGCAGAACCTGGTAATCTACTTCCAAAAATCAGCCAATGAAAACCTTACGGGTCACATGATGTGATCCCCAAGGAATCATGATGACAGGACTCAGCAGCACTCATCCTGTTGTGGATGGGGATGCCATGAATTGGGTGCTGATTTCACAGCTAGTTGGTGCAGAAACCACTGTTTGTTTGTGCCTAACCAGCACGGGTGTGTCTATACTACTTCAGACAATACAGTCACCCAACTTAGCTCTCAAACTCTTGCCTTATGAGGGACAGTACCCAAGGATTAGCCCTGTGTAACCCCTGTGGCTGTATCTTCCACAGTAAGTACCTGCATTACTTTGCCATCTTTGCCGCGGTACAACGTGTAGAGCTGGTAAGCTCTAAACTCATGAGGAGGTGGTGGGGATGAACACCGATGCTTGCTCCTCTTTTTAGGGTGGCTATGAGTGTGCACATTCTTCTGGTGTCCAGGCTGCTGGTCTGCTGGTGGAGTGGGGTCTGAAAAGGCTGACACCTGAGGGAGAGGAAGAGATGACCCCCTGAGCACTGATGGCGTATGCGAGGGTGACAGCAGCCACTCCTCACGGTATTCTACTCCAGACAGCGCAGGAAAGGCTAACTGGGTGTCAGACTCCTGGTGTCAGCACTGGTCTGCGAACCACAAGGCTGGCGGTTCAAACCCACCAGCTGCTCCTCAGAAACTTTATACAGGCCCTCTATGAGTCAGGGCTGACTCAACAGCACTTAAGAACAACAACCTTGTGTCAGCACTCAGCCATTTCTGTGTCCTGGCTCCAAGGCAGCAAGCCAAGTGAAGTGCCTTCAAGCTGGTGAGCTTGAAACTGCCGACCTTGCAGTTCAAACCAGCATTGCAGTGGAGCACGTTAACCCACAGCGCCACACCAGGACTCCTTTAGCTGTTTGGCATGATGAGTCCTTAGACCCTTTGCCAACCTGCTTCCCAGTCACCCTCTCAACTGCTCTCACGTGCCTCCTGACCTTGGGCCTTGACTTTCTCCTCCTGTTGTCCTTTGCCTTGGGCTCTGGGGAGGCTGACCGGAAATCTTCTCTGGCTTCTTCTTTTCTGAGTGCAGCCTGCTCGCTGCTGGGGGTGTCTCCTGCTGAGACACTACCCTACGGAGGAAAAAAAGAAGCCCAGACACCTAAGAAGCTTCTGTTGCTTCCTCTTGTCCACTTAATACCCGCACAACATTTCCTTAAGGAGAGACTTAGACCCTTGACTTAGGGGAGATAAGAGATTGTGTTGAATGTTACTCTACACTGTTCTGACTTCCCTCCCAAAGGCCATGGTTATGGTGAAGAAAAGCCAATACTCAGAACCTGTGCAGCCACCATCATTTTTCTGGAATAGGGGGACATGAAACAGTAGCATTCACTGAGGTCAGGTTTGGGGCTGACATTCCCTCTGTACCCCGCAAGTCCACATGTCCAACACGGGAACAGCAGCAACTAGCAAGATGCCTAGTCAGGTCCTAGCCAAGGATGATTCCCATCTGAAGGAAACAGTAAGTATTTGTTCTGCTTGTCCTATCACCTTCTCACTAGTGGAATAAAATTCCATTTGCAAGACTCCACTCATTAGGGACCCCTGGGAATCTTTGCCAAGAAAACAAGTTTCAGACACAGGGTAGTTTCCCTAGCTAGTGGAGTACTTTGCTTTTATTTTATTATATTTATTAGGTATCAAACGAAGGTGTAGTCTTGAGTCTAATTTTTTATGCTGGAGCTCTAGGAACCTACCATACATGGAACATCTCAGCACTAGAGATTTTTAGTCTTCAGTATTTCAACACTCATTCTTTGAATCTGGACCCCCACAATTTATGTCGGAGAGAACACCTTGAAATGAAGTAATATTAAAATTCTGGTCCTCAAGAGAACTTTTACAGTTTAATATTTATGAGTCACACATAGGAACTTCATCACAGTGAGATGGCCTTAACCCTCGAGAATGATGAGAGGATTTTGAAACAGCAGATAGAAGAACAAATACTTGGGTGATATAATTTGATGTGCCAAAAGGTGTCTGTCTTAGTTCCTACATCCTAATCTTTCTCCTAGGAGACCTGAAGGGATAATTCATTCAGGGCTACCATGTATGATTGTGCAAGGGTTGAGGGATTGAGGAGAGCTGAATTACACCATGTGTACATCCCACGTAGGGCTGGTCTGCCCAGGGGGGCATCTTTTTCTAATTTGCACAAAGAAGTCACATGGGCTAACACAACCTGTGTTAATTCCCTAATCTGAAAGAGAGGAAGCAACCTATGCCAGTAGTTCTCAAACCTTAGTGCATATGGAAACCACCCAGAGGGCGTGTTCAAACACAGATTGCTGGGCCCCACCCAAGAGATTCTGATCTGAGAGGGGTACAGTGTGAGACCCAAGAATCTGCATCTTAGGTTCCCATGTGATGCACTAGACACTTTGAGAATCACATTTAAGGGGGGAGATCTATCAGAGAGGCAGTACTGCCCATGGGGGGGGAGAGGGGGGACACACAAAGGTCACAGACTCTTGGAGCTAGTAAACATGTCCACCCAAGGATTCTGGAAAAGCCAGATAGCATGTGCTCTGAAACCTTGGAGGAATGAGGTTTATAAAGCCAATGGGAAAAGATGGACCATACTTGGAAGAACCCCAGGGGGAAAGAGAGGCAAGGACAGCATGACGGTCGCCAGATAAACCCAGTAGAAGTTGGGAGATGGCTTTCCACCCACTGTACAAGGAGGGTGGACGGCAGGGCTACCCCCACCTTGCTTTGTGCCACCTCATCTCTTGGCACAGACTGGGCTCTCCTCTCTTCCTTGAGCCTCTCTCTCTTTTTCCTCAGGCTTCGCCCACGAGTGAAACGCAAAACCTGAGGGAGGCAAGAGGCATTGTTACAAACCACTGGTGTGTGCGACATCAGCGTGACAGAGTATCTATCCTTGGATCTGGTTGTTTAATCTAAAAGAAATTACAGTCTAGTGGAGAGACCAAATATTCACATCAAACAAGTATCTCTGGACTACTACGATGACTGTTAGATCTTGTGCTGGGCATTATTGGGACCCAGAGGTAGGGAGGTTCCTAACCTCAAACTGTCAAGGAGCTGACAGCTTACAATAATAATCACTGGAATGCATGTACGGGACCAGGACTGCCAGACTGTGAGCTACACAATGTGCACAGACTGTGAGCTACACAATGCCGAGGGCTACCACTCACGCACACTAGTTTTTGTTAAGTGCTATTCAGACAGTTCTGATGCAAAACGACTCTGTATAGGGTTTCCAAGAAACAGCTGGTGGATTTGAACTGCCAATTTTGCATTTAGAAGTCCAGTGTTTATCTGAGAGGATTATAGAAACCAGGCACAGCCTCTCTTCTCACCATCATGGTGCATTGGACCTGAACTACCCATCAGATTTCCTCTTGGCCAAACTATCCACATCTTACATAATTTGATTCAAGCAGTATTATGGTGCATCAACGGTCCATGATACCAACCTATGAGCAGGAGTCTTCTCCAAAATGAAGCACATTTCCTGCCCTTTACCAGCATAGAAAGGTGGAATGGACACAGGCAGGCACATGTGAGATCCAATAGATTCGGGTGTGCATCCAGTACCAGTTAGCTATATAGATAGGATCTATGGGCAAATTATTTAACATCTCTGAGTTCTAACTGTTCAAATGTAAAAACAATGAGTTGCTGGAATGAACTGAGACAGAGAAGGGGGCTGGTGACATTGGACCATCGCTCAATGTTGTGTCTCTCTACTGGCCTTGGTGACTTAGAGCTTTAACTAGCAAATGATGTTAACCAAAGTATAGATGTTTGAGGTGGTGAAACCCCCCAACCTCTGGCCCAGTTCTACACCCACCCTCCTTTCATTCCTGGCTTCAGGATTCACATTGTTGGTGTTTTAAATTCTCGACCTTTCATGGGCATACAATGGAGTTATCCAGAGGCTGTCTTATAATAAATGGCATGGAGGAGATTTGAAAAAATGTAAAATAATGCTGTTCTTTCACTAAATTTGTTTTTACTAACAAAAACAAACGCACAGCTATTTTTCACAAAACAATGATATTTACATTAGCATGAATAGATTTATTGTTATCTTTGACTACATTGATAAATATGCTTAGGATTTCTCAATTTTTAACTTTATATGTGAAACTCAGGTAGTGAAATGGATTATGAGCTGGGTGGCTAACCAAAAGGTCAGTAGTTCTAATCTACCAGCCATTCCATGGGAGAAAGATGTGGCTTTCTGCTCCTGTATACATTCACAGCCTCATAAACCTTATACAGAATCAGCAGGAGTTGGAACCAACTTGGTGGCATGTGGCATCCTGGTGTGGCACTGTAGGGTAAGCAAGCTTGGTTTGAACCACAAAGTTGGCGATTCAAATCCACTAGCTGCTCCTTGGAAACCTTATACACGGTTGTTATGAGTCGGAATTAACAGCACTTAACAACAACTGAAAGAGATAACTTACAAAAACAAAAGTTCATTGCAGGCCTCCCTAATGTTTAAAGAGCCCTGAGGTCAGTGACTGAGAGAACCACTGTCCTCAGCCATTTCTAAAACTCAGTTGAGATTCACTTGGAATTCAAGTTTGTTCACCCAGTTCATGTACTCACTGAACACACCAGGGTCAGTAGGCCTGAAATCCACTGGCAGCAGCATTTGTGAACCATGTTAATCAAACATGACAAGTGACACTCAAGAGGTCACCTAAAATAATGATCAGAAAAATCCCTTCCACATAGCATGTTACTAGCCAGTGAAAATAACTTGAATGGGTTAAAGTCTCTGTCAGTGATCCGTACCATCGACCATACGGGATGCCGATGAAATCATGGAATGTTGACTTTAAGGCCTTGGGGAAAAGTCTCCTCTTAGTACTGCATTGGCTCATGAAAATTTATGGTGAACTAAGGTGCCAGGGTAAGGGGATTTCTACTTATAGCCAGAGCAAACCAAAAGGCTATTTCTGTGACTATAAATCAGCAGAGTCACATATGGACATATCTCAAAGTTAAGAGAACTTCCCTAAAATATCATCTATTTACTTGCTATTAAATACAGGTGTGGTGAATCTTGCTAAAGTCATTTTTAATGCAAACTAAAAAGGAGAACTACATGGGAAAATGGTCCAGGATAAAACTGACTTCCCTGCAAGTGAAGAAGCTTGGACTATGGAAGACAAATGGCAGATGGGTTAAAAATACATCATTCTTTGTGTGCCTGCAGAGTTCTCTAGCCCTGCAAGACTTGATGGTCTCTGTATCGGTGAAAATGGGGCTGCGTGTCCATTAACTTGTCAAATTCTAAAATGCCAGGTGATGATTAACAACTGGGATGAATTTTGACATTTATCACCCTGTACTTTTTGATCCATGAGAGACCAGCATTTTTTCTACCAGGATTCATGGATGTGATTCCACTGATGACTCATGTGTAAATAACTGAAGAGAGGTTGTTGTTGTTATGTGCCGTGGAGTAGGTTCTGACTCATAGCAACCCTGTACAGGGTTTCTGAGGCTGTAAATTTTTACGGGAGCAGAAAGCCTCATCTTTCTCCCATGGAACAGCTGGTAGCTTGGAACTGCTGACCTTGTGGTTCGCAGCCCGATTCGTAACCACTATGCTACCAGAGATCCTTTGAAGAGAGGTAGATCCTCCCCATCTCTAGTAGCTTTTACCAAAGAAGCATCCGACTGCTGGGAGCTCTAAGAATTTCTACAGTTATCTGAGAAAAACCAAGCCTAACAGTAAGAAGCCAGTCAATTTTGCAAAAGACAAAACTCTTACTATTTCCAGACACTACTACTTATGTCAAGGAGCTCTGGTAGCACAGTGATTATGAATTGGGCTGCTAATTTCAAGGTCAGCAGTCTGAAACTACCAGCTGTTTCATGGGAGAAAGATGAGACTTTCTGTTCCCATAAAGATTTACAGCCTCAGAAACCCTCCACAGGGTCACAATGAGTCAGAACCGACTCCACAGCACATAACCACCACGACCACTAGTTAAGTTAGGCATGTTTTAAAAATTCTGGGCTGGGCTTGTGATTGGGCTGTGAAGCAGCAGGGTAGGGATCTGAAGCTTCCTTTGACTCTGTGACTTTATATCTTCGGTAACAGTAGCTAGAATCAGGTGAAAAACCAACCAGTAATGTAATATATAACAGTTCCAATCTAGACATAACCTAAATATTCAACATTAAGATATGGTTTAACAAAATTTCAGACAGCAACAAAAACAATATTGTGCTTCCATTATGATGAATAATTGTGAAGACTCTGGTAGCGTCATGGTTACGAATCAGGCAGTGAACCTCACGGTCAGCAGTTAGAAACTACCAGCTATTCCACGGGAGAAAGATGAGGCTTTCTGCTCCCGTAAAGATTTACAGTCTCGGAAACCCTGTAGTTGGCACATAACCACCACAGAATATATTCCTAGTTAGAATACAAAGCAGATTACAAAAGGGAAGATACAAATATACATACATGAATATATATATATACACACACACACATACACACACACACACATATATATGGAGTCCTGGAGTCCTGGTGTGGCGCTGTGGGTTAATGTGCCAGACTGAAAAGCCGTTTGAACTACAAGGTTGGTGGTTCAAGCTCACCAGCTGCTCCTCGGAAACCCTGTATAGGGTCGCTATGGGTCGGAACCGACTCGATGGCACTTAACACAACATATGGAGTCCTGGTGTGGTGCTATAGGATAAGCACTGGGCTGCTAACCACAAACTCAGCAGTTCAAATTACCAGCTACTCCTTGGAAACTCTATACAGGTTCATTATGAGTCAGAACCAACTCAGTGGCACTTAACAACAACAATATATATACAGTTGGCACAATTATGTAAAAATCATGTGTCTATGGAAGCTAATAAGAAAAAGCCAAAACATTTGTTTCATGGTGATATAGTTATAAATAACTTGTAAATTATCATTCTTGAATTTCTTTATTATTATTTACATAATGTCAACCTTAATTAAAATGACAAGATATTACTATTTTAAAAACTGAATGATAGTTCCAATAGTCAATAAAAAGGAAAGAAAACTATACTGTACTTGACTGCTTTATCTGTCTAGAATGGTCCACTCTTCTCACACCTTTATCTGGGGAATCCCACTTTCTAACCACTTGATCAAATGGATGCTGTCATATTCTTAAAGCCCTAGTCCCTCTTGCTCAGCAGTGGACATTTTCCCCCAAGTTGGTCAATCCTGGTCCTCTCCCGAGATGTATTAAACTGGAACGTCCTCCTTGACTGAGTAGCTAAGAAGGTGTGATCCAAGAAGCTACTGGTAATAATGATCGAGCCACAGGGAGAAATGGTGCCCATATGTGAAGAACAACCTGCTAGAGTAGAAGTCTTCGGTTCTAGTCATCCTAGAAGACCAAATGGATGCCTACATTTTCTACTGTTTAATTAGTGAGTCGATCAATGCCCTATTTAAGCTTGTTTGAATTAGATTTAGTAGATTTCAAACATAGGAGGAGTCCCATTGACTTTGTAGCCCAACATATTCAATAAGGTGGAAAATGCAATAAATCCTACCTGGGGAGCTTTAGTGAGGAGAAGAGCAACTTCTGGATTATTGTGACAGCGGGCTGTCTCCAGTGGAGTTTGGCCTGCCTAAAAAGAAAGGCATACAGAAAATAAGTGAGTTAGAGGAGACCAACTCTGCACACTCGTAGCCCAGGGCCAGCCTCTACATGTGTTCAGCGAAATACAACCAGGGATCTGATGAAGATACCACTGAATGACAAGCTGAGGGACACCTGAGTAAGTGTTCATTGACAATGCAGACTAAGTGCTGGCCCAGGGAGCAGTAAGTACTCGGAAAGGCAGAGGACTATGGTGGGCAAGGGATGCTTCCTGGGAAAGACATGCAGAAAGTAAACATTAGATAGGACCAAAACAGTGAAGGAACAGTACAAAGATCACGAGATCAGTTGAACAATTAATTTACCCTGAAAAACAGAGGGAAGGACTACTGAAAAGGCAGATGGTTGTAGCATCTCAGGAACTGGATTGTGAAAAGCAATTAGGGCACCATTGCCAAATTGTAGGTTCTAGGGAAATTAAGGAGTTCTGGTGTGGTGCTGTATGATAAGAACTGGATTGCTAACTGTGAGGTCAGTGGTTCAAACCCACCAGCCTATCCTTGGAAATTCTACATAGGGTCGCTATGAGTTGGAACCCACTAGATGGCACTTAACAACAATGGAAATTAAACCAAAAACTACGCGTTGATAGCAAAGGGATTAAAAAATAAGTATACCTCCCCAAATGACATGAAGTTCCTGCTAACTGGTTCTACAGCTGGATAGTAAGAGGAGGAAGGGGGAGCAAGATCGGGGAACCAAGGAAGAAGGAGCATTTCAGCAGCTTGGGCTTCCTCTGACTCCAGGCACTCCACACGCTGTTCTATCTATCCCCTATGAGGCTGTGGAGAGTAAAGGGCAGCCGCAAGGCCCAAAGAGGTCCTGAACTGGCTTTTCCTTAGGAGAAAGAGAAAGGGGTGGGTGATGGAGAACGATCCCATCGGAGAAGGATGACTCTGATAGCCGTTTTTCTGAGGAGCACGTGACACTTACTCTTGGCAGTACCCACCTGTCGGTTTATTTAGATCAGGGCTAGGGAGCCTTTTTTCTGCCAAAATTTATTACATCATTCATGGGCCATACAAAATTATCAACTTAAAAATTAGTCTGTTATATTTGGTCAAACATTTAATGAACACCCCGAATGTGATGACTGGAACTGCGGTTGCCTTGGCGGACCAGTCATTCCCCTGACTTAAGAGAGACAGATCTAAGGAGTGCCATTGTCATGCCAAGTTGTGCTCGCTGCAGCTCCAAGTCTAGATATGGGCCTGCAGAGCTTGTCAACTCAAGGGGCTCTAGTCCCCCCGAGGGTCCCAGAAGCTGTGGCTTCAGCACTGTTCCTTGTCTTCCAAGACTCAGCTGGGCTGACTATCTGCCCTTGGAGCCTGCAGATATTTAAGCCATAATAACACACCCTAGTCTGGAAAGGGTTGGGAACTGCTTTTGAAATCATTGTTGCAACTCAACTTACATTATTAACAATGCCCCCATCTGCTCCAGCTTCCAATAAGATTTTAACCACTTTCTTGTGATTTAGGGCAGCAGCAACATGAAGTGCTGTGTCTCCAGCCTGAAAGGAATCAGAAGAAAGCCTGTTCAACCCCTTCCTTCATTGTGCCCCACAGCCCTCTGGCTTTTCCACCCATAGCCAAGTTAGCGGTGGGTCTTCAAAGTCATAGGAAGGTTTGCCTGAAACTGACAATGGACACACTGTTAAAATGTTATGTTGCTTCTTTTTTAAAAATGTGGTTCTTAAAAAAAAAAGAGAGAGAGTGAGATCTTGCAACTAAATGATCTATATACACTAATGTCACATTCCTTTCTGACTGGTGGTACCAAGACTAAGTGCAAGAAGCAAAGTCCAGTTGGGCTGAGGTTGTTAACTAACACTGAGGCACCAGGGTGGGCAAGTAACCCAGGACAAGCTGACTGGCTGTACTTGGGCTCTAGACCATGTGTTCCTGCAGCACAAACAGGCGAGAGGGCAGAGAATCACTGTGTGGCTGAGCAGGAAAATCTGCGGGATGCTACTTTTTAAAGTGCCAGGTGATGCCCCAGCCCTGCAGCTGACCACGCTGGATGTGAAGGAGCCACTGGGAAGAAAGTTGCAGGGATAGGGCATTGTTTGTTGGGATGGAGACACTGAAAGTCAGGGTGTTCACTGTAGAGCAACTGTTTTCTATTTCTTTCCAAATAAAGCTTTCTGGTTTCTTTCTATAAAAATAAGTTTTCAGTCACCTATGAAAGGAGAGTAAGGACAACTGTGGCTTGGTGGGTCAGTTCCAAATACAAATGCTGTTATTTCTCAAACAGATGGACCAACCTAACATGGGAGAAATAAATCAGTCCATTCTCTCCTGTCAGGTAAGCGGGTTAAGCATGCTGGTGGGGGTTTTTTCCGAGGCAGCATAGAAATCCAGCCATCCTCACTGCATGGATTCTTTGATGAGCGGCCAGAACCAATGGTGATTTCATCTGTGGGCCACTTAGTTTTATGTGTTGGGAGAAAGTGCTGTAACAGCGGCCTCCAAACTTGGCTACACATTAGAATGAGCTAGGAAAGCTTTATCAACAATTTTGATCTAATTAGTCTGTAGCATAGCCTGGGCATGGGTAGTCTTCAAAGCTTCCTGGGTTCTCCTAACATGCTGTCAAGGTTGAGCAGCACTGGTCTTGGGAGGTAGTGGGTAGCCTGGGCAGGCTGTGAAACAACAGAACAGAGCCGTTTTATTACGTCAGTGGTTCTCAATCAGCAGGGAGCTGTTTAAGAAGAGCACCATTGCGTGGACCGCACCCCCAGAAGTTCTGGTTCATTTAAAGTGAATTGACAAATCCAGGATTTTTTTTTTTTAATTCTCCTGGTGATTCAAATATGCAGCCTGGGTTGAAACCACTGATAGAGGTGGTATTTAATCCTAACCACAACCTAAAGGAGCTCTGGTAGTGTAGTGGTTACACGTCAGACTGCTAACTTCATAGTCAGCAGTTCAAAATTACCAGCGTTTCCGTGGGAAAAAAGATGAGGCTTTCTGCTCCTGTAAAGATTTATAGCCTTGGAAACCCTATACAGGGTCGCTATGAGTCAGAACTGACTCCATGGCACATAACCACCACCACCACAACCAATCACAACCTAATTATTTGTTAATTTCAGGTTTATGCACCCAAACTTACAAAAATGAAACAATGTCTCACTTAGGCATACCAAGTAATACCATGATAATATATTTTTTAAACCTCAAAATGACTACCAAAAATCAGTCACATTTCCACAGAACACTAATCATCACAGCTTTCCTTCAAGACCCAAAATAGAAATCAAATTGGCAACAGCAACTGAAAAGATTAAATAGGAAGCTTAGTGAGCGGTGAGTTTATGCTAGCGAGGGAGGAACCACTCAGAAAAGGAGGCTGTGAATGGCTGTATGGCTTAAAGAAAGTCATCACTGCCACAGAGGTACACATGTTAGAAACTGCAACAACAAAACAAGAAAAATGTAAGGAAAAAAAAGATATTCAAAAGAGAAACAATAAACATGTCAGCAAGTTTATATAGATAGTTAAATACTATATCTAAATTGATACATGGTGGCCATAGTGTGCTGTGAAGTCAGTTCTGACTCATAGCAACCCTGTGGAGGGTTTCCAAGGCTGTAATCTTCACAGGAGCAGAAAG